GGTTAATTTTCGTTGATTTTCGTTGCCAAGAGAAGGTAACTAGCTCGCTTATGTAACTAGCTCGCTTATAAAGTACGTTAGAGAACCTACTAGCTAGTTATTTAAACTAATATTATTATCGCGAATCGCCTATTTAATAACATAATATAATAACTAATAAGAATTAGAATAATAACTTTAAATAGAAGCTAGCCTAGCTACGCTAGAGCTTTATAATATCTAGGTTATTAGCTATAGATAGCTTTTATACACTCTCTACCTCTAGAAAAAAGCTCTAAGAGCTTTTTCTAGAAAAGCTAGATTAAATTATTAATAAATTAGTTAGCTAAATACTTATATACTAGGTACTTAAATAATAGATCTATATATATTACTAGATTACTACTAATATATATACTAAAGAAAATACTATATATAAAGAGTATTAGAATTTATAGTAGAAGAAAGCTACTACTTTAGTAAAGATTTAATAGCTATAAGCGTAACTATAATTCTACTCTAGAAGCTAAATACTATCTACTCTATTAACTTAATACGTAACGTATTTTATAACTTAAATACTATATATATATAAGTCTAGCGTATTACTACTAGATAACTCTATTCTAGGTTTTTATCTAACTACGTATACGCTTACTATACTACTAGTAACTAAGTAATATTTAGAGAGCTAAATAAGACTTTTTACTAAGTTTCTAGACTCTCTATTACTATTAGATAGTAAGATTATTACCTTTAAGTAATAGAGAGATAGCTTATAAAATAAGCTTTAAGCTAATTATAACTAGTATCTAGAAAAGATAGCTAAAGATACTAAGAAAACTATTATAGTCTATATACGTATATAAATAGAAGAAAATATATACTAGACTTTCTTTATAATTCTATATACTCTAAAAAATAGTAGTATATAGATTTCTTATAAATATATACTTAATTAGCTAGAGAGAAGCTATATAGACTTCTATAAGAGACTAAATATCTACTATAATTTCTAGAAGCTATATTACTAAAATACTACTAACTTTATACGCTTCTAGATTAATTTCTTCTACCTAGCGTAGAAGTACTAGCTTCTAATAAACTAATAGGTAGAGAAGCTTTATAAAAAGCTTTTAGTAAGTCTATATACGTAGATAGATATCTACTAATATTAGTATACTTATAATTATAATTAATATATATATCTTACTTAAGACCTTACTAGAAAGCTTATCTAAGAAGAAGCTTATATATCTAGAAAGATTAAAAAGCGTAACGTACTTATATTAACGCTATAATAGTCTAGTTTAGAAATTTACTTTAGGTTATATAACCTTAGATTACGTAATCTTATTACGTAATATAGCCTAGCGTCTTAGTACTTAGCACCTCTATATATAGAGCTTCTTAGAGTATTCTTCTACTTCTTATCTTTAGATAGCTAAATTTAACTTAATCTACTCTACTTATCGCTCTTATTCTTATAGCTTATAGAGACTATATTACTCGTAATTAACTTATCTAGCTAGGTGTTCTAGAGCGTACGTATAGTAGTAGAGACCGTAAAGCTAGCTCTTATATTATCTAAAGGTTAATACCTCTTTAGCTAGAGATAGTAGTATAATATTAGGCTAAACTAAGTAGCCTTATAAGAAGCGTTTACTAATAGCTATACTAAGAATTAGAGCTATAAGAGCCTAGTTACTTACTCTAAGAAT